AACTTTTGGTATAACTTTTAAACAATAGGAGATAGAGACTTGATATTTGGTATGCCTACTTCACTAGTTAAGTGCTTTCAAACAACACCGAGGTCAATGACCTTGTGACCTTGACTGTAACCTTTATGCTAAGAATAGCTTTTTCAAACTTTGTTGCTGTGGGGGCACAGTGTTTCACAAACACATCTTGTTTTTGTATATTTATTTGAATAATGCAAACATTTTCACAATTTGATATTTTTTCAAAACCCCTAGTAACACTAAATTAGAAACATAAAGAATTATTGTTCACTTCCAACATATAAATTCTAACATTAATTATAGTGAACATAATGTATGTAAAAACTTAATTGATTTGTTATCCAATGTAGTTTTAATAGTCAAGCTGATGGATGTGATCATGGTGATAGGGATACATTTCAAAAACTAACTAGTGGTAAATAAAGCACCGTAGTAGCTTTGAATTAATGCATTGATAAAAATGTCTTATTTCATCATGTTCATTACATGTACCTGGGTTTTTTTTTTTTGCCGGTAGGTGGTTATTTCAGTTAGGTTACTGGTTAATAAAGAGAAACATACGAGATGTAATTAAATTTCATTCTTATATATTCATTCATAAAGATGATGAAGATACCCAACATAATGATTAAAAGATAAAGAATATAAATCAGATTGGTGATCAATATCCAAAAGACAGGATGGTGGATCTAAAGGGAATGGGTTCCAATATTTTCCTTTGTTTATTGCATGGTTTTGAATTTCACATTTACCCCAGACAAATCAAAATGAGTTATTTGTAGGTTGATCTAATTAAGAGGCTTTATCTTTTTGATTATGGCTAATTGATTTCAAACAGTTTGCTTATAAGTCATGTGATATCATGGTCCAAAGTTATGAGTGGTGGATCCAAGGGGAGTTGATATTGAATTTTTAATTACTTATCATGCTTATTGTAGATCATCATGGCATATACTAATAATTATTGCACATTTATTTAAACATTTAAGTAACCTTTCTTTGTGTGATAAGTGATGGATCAAAGGCATGTATATTTCACCGGTAATTGTTTTGATAGTTGAGGTGGATCCAAGGGGGTGGATAGATATATTTTTAAATATCAAATTTTGTAATGTGTCAAAGGAATCAATAATGATCATGTGATGTTTATGGTAAATTGATTTTAAACATTTAACTTATATATCATGTGTGATCAAAATCTAAACTTATAAGTGGTGGATCCAAGGGGGTGGATATTAATCTTTTTTAAATATTGGTGGTGGGTGCAGGATCAAAGAATATTAATGATCAATGATTGTGGTTAATTTATATCAGACATTTAGCTTATATGTCATGTTTGATCATGATCTTAATTTTAAAGTGATGGGTCCAAGGGGGAGTGGATATTTATGTTATATAGTAGTTGTGGTTGATCCAAGGGGAGTGGATATTAATTTTAAATACATGTATTTGTGATGGGTAAAAGGATATTAATGATTATAGGCTTATAGCTAATTGATTTCAAACATTAAGATTATATGTCATGTATGATAAAGATCTAAACTTATAAGTGGTGGATCCATGGGGAGTGGATATTAATTTTATTTTTTTTTTAAATATTTGTTGTGGATCAAAGGATATAAATGATTATGGCTAACTGATTTCAACATTAAGCTTATATGCCATGTGTGATCATGGTCTTAACTTACATTAGTGGTGGATCCTTGAGGAGTAAATTTTTTATTTTAAAATTTGTGGTGGATCAAAGGATTTTTTTATTTTAGTTTTTTAAAAAGAAGAATTGCTGTCCATCCAAGTGTTTACAGAAGATTCCCACTAATGCAGTTTTTTCCATCAGGAAGCAGTTTTGGAAACTGGTCATTACTCAGCAGAATCAGGAGATTTCAGTATTGTATGCAAACAAAGATAAGACAGTGTCACTAGCACAAATTTAAGTCCCCTTTCGGTTGATTGTACTTTTTCTTAACAAATAAAAATCAGTATTTCAGACACTCCTCTTCTCTTGGCAAGTCATTTGGTTGAGTTTTCTCTGGCAATAGTATTTGTTTATGACCCTCACTATAATTAAAATGGCTCTACAAAAGCAGTTTAACAATGGATATATAACAGTCAATTTTGCATTGTTATGCCTCTAGATCTGCCACATAAAAAATAATTTGAATTTGTATATAATTGAAGATAAAATGCTTCATAAAGTATATTCAGACATTGCATTCTTATCCCATTATTCCTATATCTGCTTATTTATTTATCCCATGGGATTAAAAATACCCAGTATTATGTACTTTGCAGGATTTTTAATCCTAAGAAGGGCAAATATGGGATTTTTAATCCTATGTCGCCTATTATGGGAGAAAAAATCCCATGGGAGAAAAAATCCCTCAAAGATTTTTTTCTCCCATGGGATTTTGGTGGGATTTTTGGTGGGATGAAAAATCCCGCCATTCTCCCATGGGATTTTAGGTTTTGACAGAGGTTTATGAGAAAACTACTACAATGTGGAAGTTGAGATTGACATGATGAGGTCAGAATAAAAAATCCCAATGTAGGTCCAAAATATAGAAAAAAATCTAATGTAGGTCTTTCAGAGGTGGGATCAGGTGACATGGAGGAGTAAGTATCCCCTGTCGATTGGTCACATCCGCCGTGTGCTCCTTGTCATGATCGGGAAATTACAGAAAAATCCATCGACAATTCAGTGTGTGTATAATATCCTATCAATTAGTGTCCGGACTAAATGATAAAATATATGTCGACAAGGTCATTGTTGCATTGCACATTATATACGCGTATATATTTTGAAATGCATTTGATGTTTTAAACATGTCTATTTTTTTCCTGAAATTATAGCGACAACAGGATATATTGATCGGAAAATAATTCCAAATCAACATATCAATGTCTGAGCTTCAGCTAGTCATAGTAACAAAAATACAATCATTTGCAAGATAACAAATAGTAATAATGCTCAAAATTCACCTAATGTAAGATTTGTAAGCAGAAATATAATAGTCTGTATTATGATTGATATGAAACTATGAAACAAAATTTTGAAACACAAAATGTTTCAATTAATTCAACAATACATCAACACTGTATAAAATTTAAATGTAGAGCTACTATCAGTCATGTTCTTCGATAAAAGGGGAGTAATCCAAATTACCCTCATATAAGTTCATCAACATTTCTATTATACGAGGGTTGTTCAAAAAGTTCGTGGACAACTGTCATATTCTTTTCATTTGACGTTATATGTTATCCAAATTTGGTAGAAATATTTTTACAATAAATCCAGATGATTTGTACTACTTAGTAAATTTTTCCAAAATATTACGATTTATTCAAAACATGCAAAAATCGGATCGCGGAGCTGGTCAAAATTTGGTAAGTTACAGACAATACACTATATAATGTCTATAGTCGTATTCTCAGTAAAATGGAGCAAAAACGAAAAACAACCTAGAAATTAAAATTAAGAACTGTTACATCGATTCGTATACCAAATAATGGCTTTATTCTTTGCTTTGTTGAAAAGAAATCACTTGAGAAGATAGGTAGTCCTTATTGAAAACGACAAAAACGATGACGTTTGAGAACGTCACGGAGCAGCAGATAACGATGCAATTTGGTGTTTTACTCTGCAAAATTCCTGAATAAACTCTAAAAATGTTTGAAGAATCAAGAAAATATGTCACAAGCGAGTTGTGCATGTGTGTACAAATAGTACAGGCAGTATTTCAGTGACAGAGACTCTGTAACGAATGAGAACAATCTGTGAAAATACGATTTAACTGTAAAAATCTTAACAAAAACCTTAAAAGTAGGAATGTCAAGGAAAGACATTGGCGCTTCAGAGTCGCGTGTCCTGTGAAAGCAGAGTTAAGTAATAAAATAAATTAAAACCTAAACAAAGGACTTTATACAACGAGAGCAATTCTTAAAAAACAAGAGGCCCAGGGGCCACATCGCTCACCTGAGCAATTGGCTAGGAAAAAGCACATATCAGATCAAAACTGAAAGTTTACTGAGGGGGGAGGGGGCATGAAATATGTAAAGCTTTGATTGGCCATTTTGACCCCACCCTACCCCCGGGGGTCATGATTTGAACAAACTTCAATCTACGCTACCTGAGGATGATTCCACATGAGTTTCATTCTTTCCTGGCCCAGTGGTTCTTGAGAAGAAGATTTTAAAAGATTTTTCCTATATATTCCTATGTAAAACTTTGATTGGCCATTTTGGCCCCACCCTACCCCCAGGGGTCATGATTTGAACAAACTTCAATCTACACTACCTGAGGATGATTCCACATGAGTTTCATCTTCCCTGGCCCAGTGGTTCTTGAGAAGAAGATTTTTAAAGATTTTTTCCTATATATTCCTATGTAAAACTTTGATCGGCCATTTTGGCCCCATCCTACCCCCGGGGGTCATGATTTGAACAAACTTCAATCTACACTATCTGAGGATGATTCCACATGAGTTTCATCTTCCCTGGCCCAGTGGTTCTTGAGAAGAAGATTTTGTAAAAATGCTATTAATTTTTCACTAATTCATGATTATCTCCCCTTGGAAGAGGGCGTGGCCCCTCATTTGAACAAACTTGAATCCCCTTCACCCAAGGATACTTTGTGCCAAGTTTGGTTGAAACTGGCCCAGTGGTTCTAGAAAAAAGTTTACAACGACAACAACGACGACAACAACAACCGACGACAGACAACGGACAAATTTTGATCAGAAAAGCTCACTTGAGCCTTCGGCTCAGGTGAGCTAATAAATGTCAAGTATTAGAACAAGGATCAATGAGTGGGTATTGAATTATACTGTGTGAAATATATAGGGATAGTATTTTTTAGAAATTCTTGACGCTATGTTTTGACGTTATATTGCCGTTAATGTGCTCCGTGGGTATTATATTATAGAAGAGTAAATTTACAAATTTTGATAAAGCAAAGAATACAATAAAACACACAAAACTTATTTACAATCACCCTCTACTACTTTAAACAAGTAAAAAATATAAGTTTTACATTTTGAGAAATTAACGGAACAATTTCAAAAAATACTTTTCAAATTTTTGAAAAACATTTTTAAATGTTCTTTTAGAGTGAAAAAGTCAATTCCGATGAGGAATGCCATCACCCCAGTAATAAGAAGAACACCAAAGGACCCTATGTATTGGACAGAGGGACGGCGGTCCATGACACTGATCTTCTTCCGGACACTGGCGGACAGTTGAGCCTTGTTAACCGTCAACTCTTCCTTCATTTCGGCGATGACGGTTGCTAGTTCATTACTTGTGTAATTTTTCACTTCATTTACTCTATTACAAGGACACTTACAATCCGCTGTCAAATATATGTATGTTTCAGTCACAATTAAAAGACATTGTAAGTCTAATCTTGCTTCAATATAAAAAATTAATCATTAAATAGTAAAATAGATACCTACCAAGTTTACAGTCTTGAAAACTAACAGCTCCCGTGTGCCTGGTTGTGTAATTTTCAGGACAATGATAGCAATTGATATGACTTCCACTAACGTTTTTGTAGGTACCCAATCTACATGGATCGCAATTCGTGGTTGTTTTGTTATACTCTTTACCGATTGGACAAGTTTCTAAAAAAAAAAAATGAAAGAGGCAGCACTTAAACCATTTACTATCATTAAGAAAAAACGTCTCCACATCAGTGAAATATTCTGGAGAGGGACGTTAAACAGTATACAATCAATCAATTAATCATTAAGAAAAAAATAACATGTAAGTTTGTTTCTTTCATTTTAATTATAATCTCTTCTGGTTGAACACCATTTATACAAACGTATCTGTTTCAACGGATATGTATGGGCAGCGGAAAGGGCAAAAATTACCATAATGAGAAAACAAACAATTATTTTAATTTCAATGATCATAAAAACTTAACAAATGATATACAATGCATAATCAACAGACCTTTTCGCAGAACAAGTATACATTAAAGCATAACAAACGAACAAGTACGTAACAAAAATACATGAATGCAAAACCAACGATCATCTTTGCAGTACAAACGTACATAGATACACGACAAACGAAAAAAAACTTAACCAACGTGCACGCGGTAAATCTAGTCTTCCCGACTCCCTGGCTCCCGACGGTATCGGATTTTTTTTTTAATTTCTTTTTTGTCGGTGCACAGAAACTCTGCAAACTTCTCAGGCACATTTTCTTTTTAAATGAATTCAATAATATGTAAAAACTTAATCAAATTTGCGTATTTATTACTGAATCATCAGTATCACCTTCAAAAAGCGGTAAATGTAGTACTCCGTTATAATTATGAAAATCAAAAACGGACATCGATACAGAGAGACGTAAGTGTCGTAGATAGTAAAGGTGCATGGGCACAGATTTGAAGTTAATATTTTCTGTATAATATTACGACATGTATATTTTAATAGCATTTCACACAAAAAATATATTAAAAATCTTATTTCATCTAAAAGTTATTAAAACTTCAAATTTTTAGACGGGTTTGATTGACACATCCTTGCACTCTCACAAATTTTAATTTTATTCTTAATACTTAGGAAAAGTGGCAATCTTGTTTCAATAACTTTAATAACTTTAAGACGAAATAAATTAACTTCAAATCTGTGTCCATGTATCTTTAAAGATATTTAAGGTATTGATATTGAGAAGATATTTCTTCTCAAAAAGATTGAATTAGTATTTCAGTGAAAATTGGTGGTGTTAATAAAAAAATGAACAATTAAATTCTATAAAAATTCATAACATCAAAATGATTTGATTTCAAAAAAGATTTTTATCAAATTCTTCATAAAAATAGCTAAATCTAACATGGTAAAATAATGCAAAATGAAAGTACTGCATTATTATACATTGACGTAGCATCGTTTTTAAAAGGAGGGGATAACCAAAGAAAAATACAAATTGCGCCGACAAAAAAGAAATCGGCAAGAAAAAAAAACGGGACCGTCGGGAGCCGGGAGTCGGGAAGACTAGATTTACCGCGTGCACGTTGGTTAAGTTTTTTTCGTTTGTCGTGTGTTGGTTTTGCATTCATGTATGTTTGCTACATACTTGTTCGTTGGTTTTGCTTTAATGTATATTTGTTCTGCGAAAAGGTCTGTTGATTATGCATTGTATATCATTTGTTAAGTTTTTATGGTCATTGAAATAAAATAATTGTTTGTTTTCTTATTATTGTAATTTTTGCCCTTTCCGCTGCCCATAGATATGTTTTCCATTTCATGACTTTCAGAACATTGAGAATATAGCACATAATCTTGTCCTTATTAGCCTAATTGTTTTTAATTAAGGTGAAATATTGATTCCATCTTCATGATCAAAATTGTTTTCTCTTTAATTATAAAATAAAGCGGGATTAACTATCGAGATTTAAAAAATTAAAAATGAAAAGTGATGGCAATTCAGTACTGATACAGTTCTCCGCTCCCGTGGAATTGGTCGTCTCTCCAGCAGGGCATGCGGTACAGTTCCACTTCAGTGATTCCGGAAGTGATTCGTCCTCACTTGAAGTATTCTTATAAAAACCGATTTCACAAGGTGTACAAGTACCATCCTTCAAATATTGACCATTTCTGCAGTGGTCTAAAACAGATTAAAAAGAAAGGCTGAGAGACCATTGGGCCACAATGCTCACTGTAGACACATTACCTTTCTGAAAATTTTTACATAAAAATAACCCCATATTAAGGTAGTCCGATCCTCAGGGTTACAAATGTATAAAATTAGCAGTTAAGTAATCAAAAATACTCATAAAAGTATCTCTGAATCCACAAAGTTAAGTAATTTTATCCACAATTTTTCTTTAAAGTTAAAGATCAAAGTTAATCATATTATATAGGGAAAATTGTCAAATCTCCAATATTTCGCAGAAAAAGCGAATTGGAATATCAGCTATGCATTTTCTAATTGCAAATTGATCAACAAATATATTTTAGGTGAAAAAACGATATGTATCTAGGTATTCAGAGAAACTGTTTTTAATTCTTATTTGGTATTTTCGTTTTCTATTTCCATCATGTATTCTATAATACAAAGTGTAAAAGGCTTTTGCTATCATTGCAAGACACCATAAATCACTTTTCATTTCATATCATGCTTATAAGCATTGGTATCTAAGGAGAGATTCAAGAAAATTTTATTTCTCTAAAACTGTATTAATTTTTTACCCTTTTATAGGGTAAAAATGTCAACTTTTATAAGACCTTTTCTAAGATTTCCAAAGACCTTGAATCTTATAAAGATGAATAAAATGAAAATTGTTGCATTAAAAAATTTGATTTTCAAACTTAATTCTAATGCATTTCAAATTAAGGAGGCTGGCGGGTCAAATATTTAATCTTAAATTAACCACCAGATTTAACTTATTTTTTTTAGATATGGTATATTTAGCTGTCAACTATCATTTGGCAATGAAAAAATTCATATATTTTAGTTTTAAAATTTTAACATTTTGTATATCTTTATATGGAGCTCTCCTTTTAAAGGAGATTGAAATAGTCTAAAAATGGCTGCCACCCCCTAGCCTCGTTAAATGTTAAATTTTGGATTTAGCCTTCCTGGCTGAGGATCGGATATCCTTCAAATCATAAAATTACTAAAAGTTATGATTCATTTAGTTTTAACTTTCAAATATTGAGGCTAAATATGGTGAAAGGTTAACTTCATGAAAATTTGAACTTATGACCTTTATTCTCTAGGTTCTGTATATTAAATACTGAGTAATTTTTATCATCGAATACATACTTAGACATTCTTGTCCTCATTCTAAATAAATTTTAATACTCATCCTATAGGAGTTCTACCTTTTATAAAATGAAAGAAAATAAAAGGCTGTTTAAGGTTCTCGTTCTCATTTTTTCCGTTGCAATAAGAAAATATTTTTTAATTATTTTTAAAGTATTACCTTAGACAATAAATGACCCCCCCCCTCCCTAATGAATATAATGGCAGTGTCCATGTTTTGCTAAAGGAACCCCAAAATATGTGTCGAATCAAAAAGCAAAATAGGGTTGTAATAAAGATTCTGTGAAAGTCTCATTAAACTTCATTCAGTGGTATAAGAGGAGTTGCGGATATGGGTACCCCTAAGCGTAACAGACAGACGGACGGACATACTGATTACTATATACCCTCTAGCTTTCCAAGCGAGGGATGTAATAATAATTGGCTTTTCCTATCCCTTCTCCAACCATTCTTCTGTTTTGAAATCTAATGTTCTGAATTAATAATTATTATGATCCCCTGGGTATTTTTAAATTGATATGACAAGTATATTGTGAGTTGCACTTCCCTTTGACTGTTCCATGCATTCAAGTTCACACAAGGAGTGATACCTAAATATCTCGAGGAAGTCCCATTCGCAGGACCTTCATTGAGAAGAAAACCCCCCAAAATAACCATTTTCCCCTTCAAAGGTACATGTATCAACATTAGGGATGTCAACGAATAGTCGACTATTCGACTGTCAGTCAGATGGACCTACTATCGAATAATGAAACAACATTCGAATATTAAATAAATCCAAGAAAAGGGGTGATAATGAAATTTTTATCTCAAAATTGGAAAAAAGGTCCTTCCTCAAACTATATAGCTGTATAGTGTACGTCCTCAGACGAATAAGAGCTCAAACACAGTTACAATATATAAATAATTTTCCACATTGTATATATGGAAAATACAGTAAAAACATACCGCGATAATTGTTTTTCAATCACTGACTTTTTTTTTGTCATTGTACGTAGTAAATTATGCAACGCTATACTGGACTATGAAAATTATTTAATTCAATAATTGACTTGTACCAATTATTTATTTATAAACTCTAGGAATTTCAAATCCTTTGGAACACACACTATATGTATAGCCGTAAGGTTTTAAAGATAGATAATTCTTAAAACAATAATCTTACATAAAAACATTTCTATAAATAGCTTGGGCAATTATTAACTGAACAAACAGTATTTAACATTTTCATTGGAGGTGTGGATAGTGTGTGTTTACAATTCCCCTTTTCCAATTTATTTCAATTTTCCAATTTATTTCAATTAATAAGGTTTCAAAAACAATGTGCTATATTAAAAAATAAATACTCCGAATAGTCGACAATAGTTCGAATAATGCAATCGAATGTTCGACTAAGGAAAATTAATATTCTGACATCCCTAAAAAATATACCCCGAAAACAGGTAGTTCCATACTTAGCTAGCAAAGCTTTTCACCTGAACAGATAATTCTAGGTACGCATTTACACACATTCTTTTATTTAAAAATGAATTGATATGTAAACTCTTATGATAAAGACACTATATTTTGTACAATCGGCAATGCACTTTTGATAGAAATTCTATTAAAATATTACCTAGGCATTCCCTGCCTCTGATGCTGAATGTAGTTTTCCCATCTTCACATTGTGTACAATTCCATCTTAGATGAGAAGAAAGAGAGTGATCCAAACTAGATGTATTCTTGTAAAAACCAACAGGGCAAGGAGAACAGATTGTACCATTTAGGAACATTCCTTCAGCACAATTATCTGAATAAAAAATTGAAGAAAAAAAAACAAGATCAGATTTAAGAGATCAAAAGCAAATACTGTTATTTACCTTTTATTCACAAAACTGGTGAGAGATTTTAACGCCCAAAAATGCAAATACCAAATAGTGAAAACTGTATGTATTAAGGAAACAGCAAAATCATATTAATGGGAAAGTAAATTTAGTCGACATGCAAGTTAGTTTATGTACTACATGTAAGTGTTCATGTAAAGTCTTTATCTAGAGAAAATTTATCGGGATCTTTGAAAAATCGTATCGTTTCAGTCAGGAGACTTTAAATTATGACCTGAAAAAGTAAGATTTGGTTACACCAGGAGCAGAGATTTTCAATAGTTCTTAATTATCTAAAATTGGCTCTTGAGAAGTCGTAGAATAAGAAAACCTTTCAGACACTACACGCCAGACGGGCGGATTTTGGATTTTTTTTTCAAAAAGTTCATTTAATCCTTTGGCTCTGGTGAGCTAAAACACATGAATTAAGTTCAGAACGATCTAACTGAATGTAAATTTTTTTAATTCAAATATTTAGATAGTATTGAATATATTAGATTTTTTTTTGTTACAAGACATAAGAACATGTTCAACTCCACGAGAATATATTACGTGTAGCAAGTACAGAAGTTCCCAAATGTGTACTATTAATACAGAATATTTTTGCGGAAATAGCTTTTACACAACAGATAAAAATGATACAATTTTTTCCATTGATTTGTTTATAAACTTTGTGCCGACAGATAAAATATATATTTTGCTTTAAGATTTTTATATATTTTACCTATACATTTTGATTGTTGCACAGAGCCCTTTTCAATAGTTGTTTTGTTGTTTTCACACATCGTGCAGTTCCAGCGTTTGTCTAAGGGAACAGACAAACGTTGACTCGACATTGGTTTGTAGAAACCTATACCACAGGGCTCGCATGTCCCCTGATCCGTTAAGCCTTCTCCCTCTTCACAATGGCCTAGATGTTCAGGTATAAATAATATTAATATCTCTGTCAATCCCAATTTCCATTTTTTTAATACAACGATTATTTGCGATGAAAAAAATAAGTAATTGATATTTTTTTTTATTAAATGAAAATACATTTCAGGAAGTTCCATTCACAAGAACTGTTACCTTTAATAATATACTACTAATTTTGATTTTTACGATTAAAATATACCCAAACACAGGTAGATCCATTTCCATGGACTTCCGTACGTTAATTATGCTTCTCTAGTAAAGCCTTTCATCTGAACAGATAATTCTAAGTAAACATATACACACGCACATTTACTTAAATATTACATAATATCTAAATTCTTTTTAAAAATGCAAACTCTTTTTTACAATCAGCCCTGTACTTTTGAAAGAAATTTTTTTAAAAGATCACCTAAGCATTTCCGGCTTCCTATGCTGAACGTAGTATTCCCATCTTCACATTGTGTACAATTCCATCTTAGATGCGAAGAAAGAGAGTAATCCATACTAGATGTATTCTTGTAAAAACCAACAGGGCAAGGCGAGCAGATTGTACCATTTAGGAACATTCCTTCAACACAATTATCTGAATAAAAAATTAAAGAAAAAACAAGATCAGACTTGAGAGATCAAAAGGAAGAAACTGTAAAATGCCTTTTACTCACCAGAACTTAGTTAAGAGATTTTAAATGTAAAACAAGATGTGTTTGTGAAACACTATGCGCCCGGCGTCAACAAAGTTCGAAAAAGCTATATTTAGTATATAAGTCACAGTCAAGGTCACAAGGTCATTGACCTTGGCTTTGTTTGAAAGAACTTAATTAGTGGAGTATGCATACTAAATATAAAGTCCCCATCTCCTATGGTTCAAAAGTTATGGCAAAAAGTGGAAAAAATTATTTTTAGCATATAGGTCACAGTCAGGATTACAAGGTCATTGACCTTGGTGTTGTTTGAAAGAACTTAATTAGTGGAGTATGCATACTAAATATGAAGTCCCTATCTCCTATGGTTCAAAAGTTATGACAAAAAGAGGAAAAAACTTCTTTTAGCATATAAATCACAGTCAAGGTCACAAGACCATTGACCTTGATGTAATTTGAAAGGACTTTATTAGTGGAGTATGCATACCAAATATGAAGTCTCTATCTCTTATGGTTCAAAAGTTATGACAAACAGTTGAAAAAGCTATTTTTAGCATATAGGTCACAGTCAAGGTCACAAGGTCATTGACCTTGATGTCATTTGAAAGAACTTTATTAGTGGAGTATGCATACCAAATATGAAGTCTCTATCTCTTATGGTTCAAAAGTTATGACAAACAGTTGAAAAAACTATTTTTAGCATATAGGTCATTGACCTTGATGTCATTTGAAAGAACTTTATTAGTGGAGTATGCATACCAAATATGAAGTCTCTATCTCTTATGGTTCAAAAATTTTGGCGAAGGTTAAAGTTGGCAACAGACAGACAGACAAACAGAAAAACAGATAAACAGACAAACAGACAGGACAAAAACAATATACGCCCGGGATCTATCGATCCAGGCGCATAAAAAATTACCAATGAGTAACTGAAAACTACTTGTATGAAGAAAATACCTGAATGATCGATATACCGTGAAAGAATCAAGTTAGCTACTGTACTACATGATACTCTACATGTAACGACAAAATTAAGAGAAAATCAATCTTTTAAAAAATCGTCTCTGAAAAAAACCCCACAAGGACTGAAGACTTGAAATTATGCCCTGAAGAAGTAAGGTGGAGTCACATTCATTTTTTCCCATTAATTCTTTATTAACTTTGCATTGACAAATAAAATAAATATTTGCTTTTAGATTTTTTTCAATCTCTTTTCAGATTATTTACCTATACATTTTGATTCTTGTAAAGAGCCATTTTCAATAGTTGTTCTGTTGTTTTCACATATCGTGCAGTTCCAGCGTTTGTCTGAGGGGATAGACAAATTGGTACTCGATTCTGTTTTGTAGAAACCTATACCACAGGCCTGGCATGTTCCCTGATCCGTTAATTCTTTTCCTTCTTTACAATGCACTAGATATCAAAGTAAAAAAAAAACTTCTATTATAAGCTCTGCGTATCCCAATTTCCATTTTTTAATGCAAAAATTACTTAGTACGGTGTAATGAAAGAATGTATAATATTTTTGTTATTAAAAATTACATATTATCAATACATGTCCATGTGTATTATGGTTCCTCAGTTATTTTTATAATTTTACCGATACAATTTTCCGTTATTGTTCCAACGTCATATGTTGTCAGCCTATCAGGGCACCGTTTGCAAAAGAACCTGTCTGTATTGTTTAGGCTTGTATCATTGGCTGATACGCTTTTAAAGTATCCAATCAGACAAGGTTCACAAACTCTACCCCTCAGTTCCATCCCCTCAATACAAGCAGCTGAAATCATGTTTACAAGACTTTAAAATTCGATATCTGACTCAATTTGAAATATAAAATATAAATACAGTTACATAAAATTTAATATATCAACGGTTATATTATGAACTACAAATGGTACAGTACAACTGACATTATCATATGTAACCATAGTTAACCATGTATTTTAAATATCTTGAACTCATCAAATGTAAATAATTTATCAGATCACATTCTTCATTTCATTTGAGCATTTTTATAACTCTTTCTTGTGCTTTATCCCCGGTTATAGAGAAGATAGAATGAAAAGAAAATAGCACCCACGAACGCATTGGTCCATAGTAAAGCTTCCTTGTTCAAATGTAGTATAGTTTTCACCACAGGAGAGACATTTATCAATTTTAGACTGGTTTTCTCTGTAGGTTCCAAAGTCACATTCCATGCAAATCAGAAACTCGGTTAATTGTTGTCCACCCTGGCATCCTAGGGCGAAACATTGCATAAAAGGTATTATTTCTATTTGAGATATTCACATTTACATAAAAAACTAAACGATAAAAATTAAAATTGTTATACACAATTGTTCAAGATACCCTTAATTTCAAAACTGATTGCAGGATTGCTATCACACTTGCAACAATTTTGCCTCCATTTTAATGCCCAAACATAATGTGCTAAAAGATATATATAATTGCTGAAATGGCGAAAAAAAATGGTGCAAAAATCTCCCTGTAGATAGCTGTTACCTTTACAATCTTCGTTATACGATCCATCTAGATCTATGTCGTGAAGGGTTACCACTTCACTGGGATTTTCTGTTAAAAACAGGACATTCCAAATTATATATTTCATTAACATGACGTACTTTCCATTTTTTTTTTTATGGAAAGTAATATTTAAACCATTCTTTATTTTGACATTAGCTTGTATAATCCAATCTCAAGTTATTCTCTCAAAGTGACGTGAATACATGTACGTGCAAAGGCTATTTATATTGGGTATTATTATATATTTGCTAATATGATTCCTATGAACCTTCGACAATGAAACCACAATATTCCTCATCTGTTAGTCCATCCTTGTCATTATCTATGCCGTCTCCAGGTATCTGGTTTCGATCTATAGAAGGCTGCAAATAGCAAAAAAAATAGCAGTTGACAGTTACTTGAGTTATAAAAGATCATATAACAAATCGAATACATTAAATAATTGTTTAATTCAATGTGATACGTTCTTCAAAAAAGTAGATCATATTGTTTTTTTACATTTAACATGAGTCAACAAGATTCTGGAAGTAAAATATATTTAAGGTAGATTTTTTCTACCATTGAATCATTTTCTTTTTTTACATTCAGTAATAATTTGTAATCTGTGGCATCAAAACATAAATTTAAGAACTTGGATTTTTTTTAGCAAACCCCAAACATTTTTTTTAACGTTTTAGTAAATAAATAGCTGATTCAAGTGTACTCAGAGACTGATCTTAGAACTGTTGAAGAAAAGAATGGAGTCGTACAAGGCGAGGGCAATCCCCCGCTCTGAGAAAAGACATTTCTTAATTCTAAAAGTTATTTTTTTTTTCAAAATTATATTGTTTATATCAACTTTTACGCATTTGATTCTGTATTTCATTGCTTTGATATTTTATTAATAATCTATTTTTCACTCATGTTTCGAAGGAGGCTGGGGTGGGTCAACAAATTAACCACCAGATTTAACTTATTTTTTTAGATATGATATCTTAAGCTGTCAACCTCTCATTTTGGCAAAGAAAAATTTCAAAAAATTTAGTTTTAAAATTTGATCATTTTCTATATCTTCATATGGAGCTCTTCTTCTCAAGGAGATCAATATAGTCTAAAAATGGCCCCCCATCCCCACCCACCCCCTCCCAGCCTCTTTAAGATATGTGAAAACAAAAACGAAAAAGCTTCCCGTACGATTCGAACTCTCTCCATAGCGCAGGGTTTGGTCCGAGACCGACCGCTTTAACCACGCTACGAAGTACATGTACGTATATGCATTATTGACGTCTGTCGGTGTGATTTCAATAAACTGGTTTGATGAAGCGTACATTTTTTTCAGAAATTTTCGATTTTCATATAGAATGGGTTCAGATTCCATTTTTTGGACAAATGAAATAGATTTTACATTTACGTTTCCATCATTTAAGCGTTAACGAAGAATGGAGACTTGACCAATTCGATCATGTTCTAAATTCATGTTTTATAGATCTAGTACACCCACTAAATATGCTGTCGACTTTGAAATATATACTATCAAATAATAAGTCATTTTAATAAAAAAAATTGATACAATGTTTTGAAGATGACATTACTGGGAACATGATTTTAGAAAAATATAACTTTCCTGTGAATTTTGAAAATTGAGAAACATTTTGTCTCAGAGCGGGTGATTGTCCACACCTTATACGCCCTCTTTCTTTATAAAATTCATATTTAATTTTTCTTTTCTTGTTTTTTCGAAATTACCCACCACAAAAATAATGCTTACTTTGGCCCTTTGTCCTTGGATATTTGAGCGATGAGGCCAACCAGAGTTTGACAGATGATAATAATTTACATTAGAGACTGTTTGGGAAATTTTCGTTTCATCAGTCGGAGTGAGAATGTTATATACTGGTGGTAAATAGACAAAATTGTATCCAGCTGGACTAAAAGGTAGTGCATTAAAATTTCCAGTGCTATAATTTTGCTTAAATTCAGCTATCACGTGGACTGGTTTACTGCTTGAAAAAGAATAAGTGAAGTCAGAGTTATCTAACGCTAGTTCCACTGTATATTGTTCACCAGCATTTTCAAGCAAAAAATGTTGTCTGAAACTACCCAAAGCCTGATTTTCATTTCCAGACAAATTTACCACGGTATTGCCATCTGTAGCCACGAAGAATAACTTTTCATTCTGTAAGTCATTTGTTTTTATGATCTTGTACTCCGTTCCTCCCATAGAAGCCGGTGGTAGAAAATGTATCAGATAATTGTTTGTTGTAAAGCTGGCACACATGATCGCTACAGGATAATTTGCAACGATGTAGCTTCCATCAATAATATTATGCAAAGGCTGTTGCACTAAATGTTGTCTTAGTGGATACTTCCTATATTCAGCACCATGGACATAACTAACACTTGTACTATTGAATACGTTGCTTGCAACACATTGGTTATGGCACATTGAACCACTATAACAAGGGGGGAACATAGTAGTATATTCTGTTCCCAAATTACTGACAGGAGGAACAAGAAATGAATTAGAACATGGATCTACTGAATCACATACAAAGTTACACATCAACGATAGTTTTTGCGATGATCTTGCTTTTATTATCAGTGGTTTGCCATCTGGGATGTTTTCAAAAAGATACCAATTTTCAACTCGAGTCTGTGGTTGCCATTGTCTTGTGGCGGTCGAGTTATACCAATACATGATATCGGTAATAGAAGTTTGTGGTTCAATTCTGCATCTAACTTTTGATGGTATATTGTCAAATCTTGGCAAGATAAAGATCTCCCTCACAGAAGATGCAGCAACTGAAATAACAATTGTATTAATTTCTCATTTACAGGATAACCGATGGTATTTATATTTTAACATTAAAGAAATTGATGTTTTAAACGTGCTTACCATTACTTTTACAGTCGAAAGCGCCTTAAAATATAGAAAAGAAAAAATATTATTATATCATGGTTTTGGGATATTTTTGTAGCAAACATGTGTATCATATAAACAAGCAGAAGTCTCTGTGAGGACTGTAGCTCTACTGGTTTCAAATAAATTTCTATTTTTAGTAACCACGGCAACATCGTTCATCGAAATCAAAAACCGATAAAAAGAATAATGTATCTTAACCTAGTCTACTTGTGTGTCAAGTCATATTGAAATCAATCCAAAACTGTGGGAGGAGTAGCATTTTTAAAGTATTTCAAAGAAATTTCTATTTATGTAACCACGGCAATATCGTTCATCAACATCAAAAACCGACAAACAAAATTTGTTAATCTTAGTCTAGTCTATATGTGTGCCAAGTTATATTGAAATCAGACCAAAACTGTCAGAGGAATAGCATTTTGAACAAGAGGCCCATGGGCCTTATAGGTCACCTGAGAATCATACAACAACTTCCAAACGATTGAATTTGGTTTATGTTTTAAGGTAGATGCTTTGGCATTCTTAATTTTGAAAGAGGCTGGCACCATTGCTAGTCTAACCGGGCTAGGTGGTCGTTGCCATTTTTAGGCTATTTCGATCTCCTTTAGAAGATGATCTCCATATCAAGATATACCGAAATAATCAAATTTTAAAACTGATATGTATGAAATTTTTTTGTCAAATGCAGACCTGCCTACCCTTTTCATTGCGAGGGTGTAATTTCAGTACATTTTTAGTGGAATTTCAGAGGTTAAAGCGTAATCAATCGTGTTTTCCTTTTTGTTTTTTACTATACTTTATTTTCTTTCAAAACAACCGAAATTGTATATTACTAATCAAAGCTGGTATAACGTTTTCTTTTTCGAATCATTTATTTGCAAATGTGTTGTAAATACCTGTATCCTATATCAAACTCAATTCAACCGTAACCCTTACTGAAGCATTTGATCAATCTGTATCAGATCAGTTAAATGAAGGCTTCCGTTTGCATGTTTATACAAATCGTATATTACGATATTGGACTTTATCTTTTTAACACATATTTCTCTATCTTGTTCTAAGCAATGTGAAAATAAACTAAATTGAGCATAAAAATGGCTGTACTAATTACAATATCATTAAATGGTTAATGTATGTTATGCCATCTCGTCTTCTTTCGAATCTTCGCCATACCAGTTTACATGTAAGAGCAAGGTATAAATATTACGAATGTTATCGAATCCATCCTCTATTAATTATTTTATGAGAACTTTATTTCAATTTAGCAGGTTGTACTTTAACTCTAAATTGAGTCGTTCAAAAAAGATTTTAAACAAAAAATATAAAAAGCTTAAAGTGGCGTAAGAGCGTAAATTTGTTGTAAAAAGCGGAAGAATTACGCCCAAAGCGGAAGGGTAGGCAGGTCTGCAAATGATAGTTGACAGCTAAAGATATCATATATAAAAATGTAAGTTATATCTGGTGGTTAATTTATTTTTAATTTATTGACCCCCAAGCCTCCTTAATACCGATAGGCAATTTATGGGAACAAAAAATGCATATTAACTAATCAGTAATGTTCAGCAATAATCAGAAGTGTCCCATCCACACATGAACCCCTGACCCTAGGTCCACACATTGCACAATTTTTGAAAAGGCACATTTGCTTATCAAAAATGTTTGATTGATACCAAGGAGCAGATTTCAAACAATTCATTTTCAGTATATAAGTCGAGTCCCCCCCCTATGGTATCCGTGACCCAGGGGCCTGGAAATTCACAATTTTTGAAGAAGAGCCCTTGCACATCATAACTATATATATGTAGGTAGTTCATTTGCTATTACGCAGGGACAGAGAAGAAGATTTTCAAAGAATTAATGCATTTTCACTATACATGTATAATCATTATAGAACCCCACCCTAACACCAGAACCCTGACCCTGGGGCTATGGAATTCATAATTTTGGTAGAAGCATTCTTGCACATCATAGCTCTGTTCTTATTTGTTCTTATTTAGTTTACTTAATACCTAGGAGCACAAAAAAGATTTTCAAAGGATTGATGCATCTTTCACTATATAATCAATAGAGCCCCACCCTAACCCAGAACCCCTGACCCTGGGGCCAGAAAAGGGACTCTTACTTATCTTAACTATGGCCATAAAATTCATAATATTGGCAGAGGCACTCTTGCTCATCATAACTTTGTACTTAGTTTGTTTATTTGATACTCAGGAGAAGAGAAGAATTTCAAAGAATTAGTGCATTTTTCAAAAAATTCAATGGAGCCCCGCTCTAACACCAGAACCCTTGACCCTGGGGCCCTAAAATTCACAATTTTGGCAGAGGCACTCTTGCTCACCATAACTATGCGCTTAGTTAGTTTATTTTATACCTAGGAGCAAAGAAGATTATTTAAAAAGATTTAATGCATTTTCACTATATATTCAATGGAGCCCCACCCTAACACCAGAGCCCCTGACCCTGGGGCCCTAAAATTCACAATTTTAGAAGCAGCATTCTTGTTCATCGTAATTATTATTTGAAACCCAGGAGCAGAGAAGAAGATTTTTCAAAGAAATAATGCATTTTCAATACATAATCAATGTAGCCCCACCCTAGCATTAGAACCCCTGACCCTGGGGCCATGAATTTCTCAATATTGGTAGAGGACTAAATGCTGATAATAATCATGCCAGCAGTTTGACTGCTTGATGTCCCGGAGTAAAGATGAAGGTTTTTAAAGATTGTACTCTTATTTTAGTGGTTTTGGCCCCACCCCCAGGCCCCAGGGGGGCAGGGACCATGAAATTCACAATTTTTGTTCCCCTTCACCCATAGATGCTATATGCCAAAATTGGTTGAAATTGTTTCAGTGGTTTCAGAGAAGAATCTGAAAATGTTCAAATGTTAACGAACTACGCACGACGAACGACGATGGACGAAAACAGATAGCAATAGGTCACCTAAGTTTACTCAGGTGACCTAAAAATCGATTACAGACTGGCAGACAGGCGGACAGAAAGACACAGACAGACAGACAACGGATGACGGACACCTTACTGACCAGTAGAGCTACAAATGGAATGATTATAAAACACATATAGATTCCCAAGCGATTTACTAACAGTGTGAATAAGGAAAAGAATATAGCAAAGAGAGAGCCATCAGTCAATCTAAACCAACCTAGTTTTTCACTTTCTAAATGAATAATTTTATTTTGAAATAAAAAAAATTGGTGGGTTTATTATAACCCGCATGAAAAGCGGTAGGTTATACAGTGATTGGGATATGCGTCCGTCCGTATGTTTGTCCGTCCATTTCCCTATGGGGTACCCATCTCTTATCCGGTACTTCTTTACACCGCTGGGGGTAAACTTTCACAGAATCTTTGTTACATAGTGCCATTGTGACCTCCTAATTTGCTTTTTGATCGGACACATATCTCGGGTTTCCCATAGGAAAACATTGACACTGCCATTCTTTCTATAATATTGAAGGGCACACATCTCTTATCCGCAATTCCTCCTATACCACTGAATAAAATTCAATGAAACTTTTACAGATTCTTATTACATAATACTTTCTGATTTGACGTCTCCCAGAGCAAACATGGACTGTGCCATTATGAGAGGCGGGATGTCATTTAGTGAGCTCTGTGCTCACAATACCTTAAATTTAAAAAAGAAATAATGTCACGTACATCAGCAGATTGTAGTAGATTGATTTCAATTTATAAAGGGTCAAGAAACGTGGTGACTAACTTTTCAATCGTCAACACTTGTTTCAAGTTGATGAAACAAGAATATAAACAGACAACATCCTCCAAAGGCACGGCCTGGAGTTAGCATATGTTGCTCTTACCTACACGACTAAAATGGGACATCACAGCAGAATATCGAGATGCCATAGATATTTAGAGAAAAACTTGCTGATGTCGAAAATTCTTTTAGAATGATTACGAACGTATGTTTTATATTCCCATTTAAAAGTAATCGTTTTGAAGTGCCTACACCAATAATTGATTAATTTTTTTTTTCAAATATATATATATATATATATATATATATATATATATATATATATATATATATATATATATATATATATATATATATATATATATATATAAAATCAATCATAAAGCAACATACCATGAATATGAAACATTAAAATTCTAATAGCAATCAAAAGATGATGGTTATTTTTTTATGCCCCCGTAAACGAAGTTTCGGGGGCATAATTTTTGTCGTGTCCGTCTGTCTGTCTCTCTGTCTGTTTGTCTGCAAAAACTTTAACCTTGCCCATAACTTTTGATTTAGTGGAGCAATGACTTTCATATTTCATATGTGTATTCCTTGTGACAAGACCTTTATTTGGGTACCACCAAATTTGACCTTTTGACCTTGACTTTGGAGTTTGACCCACTTTTACATGAAAATTTCAAAATTTTACTTTGGCAATATCTTTTGAACAGTAGACACCAGGACATTTATACTTCACATATATAATGTTTGTTAAAAGACCTTTTACTGGATACCAACAACTTTGACCCTTTGACCTTGACCTTGTAGATTTCCGTACTTGTGAAAAAGCTTTAACCTTGGCCATAACTTTGAACGGTAAGGGATAGGACTTTCATACTTCATATATGTAATCCTTGTGAAAAGGCCCTTCATTGGATACCTAGAACTTTGACCCTTTGACCTTGACCTTTGAGATTTACCTACTTTAAAAAAGTTAACCTTGACCATAACTTTTAAAGAGTTAGGGCTAGTACTTTGAAACTTTACATATTTGATCCTTATGACAAGACCTTTCATTTGATAACAATAACTTTTACCCTTTGACCTTGACCTTGGAGTTTGACCTACTTTTTAAGAAATTTAACATTGACCATAACTTCTGAACAGTAAGGGCTAGGGCTTTCATGCTCTACATGACTATTTTATGTGGCAAGACCTTTCATTTGATACTAATAACATTGACCTTTTGACCTTGACCTTGGAGATTTTTGTACTTATTAAAAAAAAAAACTTTAACATTAGCTTACTTTCAAAATTTAACAATTGTTTTCTAGTGAGAATACCCTACTTTTGGTACCAATTAATTAAATTTGCATTTAAGAAAAGCTTAATCTTTGCTATGTTGCCATACGGGGGCATCAGTGATTTACAAACACATCTTGTTTTTTTTAAAAAAAGGAGTCGCACTTTCCGCAATATAAAATATTAGATAGCTTTATAAATACAATTATAAGGGGAATAGTACCCCTCTTTAAGGAAATGAAATATGTTTATTTAAAGCAGAAAAGAAACGCACTCATGTCTAAACTCACCCAAAGGCGATAAATATGGATTACCTGCAGAAAGAAAAAAATACCAAAAATGAATTTAGATTCATTCATTGCAATCAAATTGCTCTTAACGGGAGCGGGTGTAAAGAAAAATTGACATCCTCATTTAACATGATATTTTAAAAATAACTCATGACATATATATCTTTGTGTGGTATTTTTGAACACATTTTCTATGATCAAATTTTAGTTCTCCAACATTTCTCAAAATTCGGTATATAGACATGTGCTTAAAATTATTTTGTTATTTTGAAAAAGGAATAGGTTTCAAAATTGGTAAATATACCAATGTATACAAAAAAATCGTAAAGATGCCAATAAACAATATAACTTACTTAAGTCACTCCATAGATTGGCATCTAAAATTGAAATTATAAGAGTAAGTGATTTTATTTGTTTAAAATTGTAAAATTACAAATACTTCTATTTTCTTAGCCTTTCTGCTTATTGATGAACATTAAGTATTATTTTATTTTTTTTGGAAGACGCAGAACCTGGAATTAAATCATAATGCATCTTTTTCTTTTAATATCATTACACAATGAGGAACAATTCTAGTAGCTTTAGATTCAATTGTATCAACATTTTTCTTTTGTCCATGTCATGTATACTTTTATTGTAGACTATGCACAATGAAGTGCAAAGATGGATATATAGTTAAATCCGAAAGTGATAATTATTTGTTTATTTACATGCTACTGTTACTTCTGTCAATAAACTGTTTATTATTTTTTAAAGCTATGTAGAAATTGCAATAATAAATATAAAGCTTTCATTAAATATATGACAAAGTTTAACATACAGACTAGTACTGACGTAATTTAAAATATTCTTTTCAAAAATTAAATTTTGTATTTTTTAAATTCTTGCTTACAACAATCGTCTTCATCAGTTTGTCCATCCCTGTCATTATCTATTCCGTCTCCAGGCACCATTAGGGGCCAGTGTCGCTCATTCTGAAAGAGGTATCAAAAGTAAATTTAAACAATATTATCAGAATATAATCTATACGATAAATTTCAGCAAGAAATCACTAGTTAAAATTAATGTGTCTATCTGATTAAATATTCTTAAAAGTTCCGAAAGTGAAAAATTAGAATTCTATTACTGCTGCTTTTTATTCATTTTGTTACAGATCAAAGAATGAAAAAAATCTATACCTATATTTTCATTGTCATAGCATTATCATCATAATTAAAGAACGTTTGAAACGACACATATATATGTATTTATATGTGCTGAATCTGTTAAGATAAAAACTTACACTATCTTCAGTCTGGTTAAATCCACAGAAAGTGCCTCCAAAACGTGATCCATCTCTGTATAAACTACATCCAAATATCCCCGATGGCGGAGAAAGATCTCCTCTATGTGCAAAAAAATGAGTGAGAGGGGCGTTATTGTCATTTTCTGGCTCGTATGTGATATTCATATAAGAATGGTTAAATCCAGAATCGTGATTTAGAGCGTCGTAATCGGTGTTAAATGTTATTGGAACATTGATTACCATAGCACTTTTGTGAGCAGAATTCAAAACAAACTGAGTCACAGAAACTGGTTTTGACGAGCGTATTGTCACTGGTTTTTTACCGTCTATTCTTCTTCGTATATTTTCGTATTTGTTTGGTATAATCACGTGATCATACCCCGAGATATGAACAAAGGTATCGGGCTGAGAAGTAACTATGCTAATTATGTCACCGTATTCATTTTTCCCATAAGGCACTACGGCATAACGTGTTCCCCATTGGTTGACTGGAATGAGCTGTTCGACCATAAACTCAAGATTAAAGACTGTATTTTGTTCTAGTGAGGAAAAACTTGCAGCGTATGCTATAATGTTACCAGATGCACTAATGTGTGCCCCAGTAATATCGCAGTTAAAATCCAGTGTAGTTGCTTCCAAGCTATTAAGATTTACAGTTATTGTTTTATTCATGCATACTCTTTGAGTGTAATTGTTTATATCCGGTAGAACTATATTCACAACGATGTCAGAACTGGAAGGATTTCCTAATCCTATGAAGCTTTTGCCTGTGACATCAATATACACTGAGGCAACATACTCCAATCCCAGGTGCTCATCTTTTAATATATTAAACATCTCTCCTATTGATTCGTTCCCCAAGATTCCATACACATCTTTTTGGGAAATAACTTGATAAATTTTGTTTGACTCATAAGTACAGTTTGGAAAACATTGTAATGAAGTACAGCTGGAACTTTTTTCACAAACACATGAATCTGACGTTGACTCTATGTATTTACTTTGTGTCCCGCTGAATCCAACAGACATGAAAAATAGAGAACGACCTTCTCCACCTAAAGCAAAAACAAACAGATATTTTGAAACTGGAATTCATTAATGCACTTATTTTCTAAATGAATTTGAAATTTGGCTAAAAATTACTTTTTTCCTAATATTTTGATTATGCCTCCATGGATAAAGATACAAGGGCATACAAGTTTGGTCTGTGTGTCTGTTTTTCCACAATAAAGTCCTTGGTCATAGCTTTTATACGGTTGATTCTTGGGTATCATATTTCAATAGCTATCTTTGTTTACCAATAAATTGAATCATTGATCCTGACTTTTGACTTTAATTTTTCTTAATTTGTAGAAAGTTAATATCAGCTGTAATTTCTAAATGCCATAGTTTTGACCTCATGAGCCTGACCTAAGAATTTTACTTGCATTTAAAAAGCCTGTTTATGATATCCATACGGTGTACAGTATTTTACGACAAATTTTGTGAAACAGCCTTTCATTGATTCCATGTGGCTTAAGTTTTTATTGGAATGAGAATTTGGATGGTTCTTGGGAACGTAATTTCGTGGGTAACTGCTTATGCAGGACATGACCAGTCGTTCGTAAGAACCAGGAATCCACAAACATTAACCCCCCCCCCCCCCCGACAATACTGATATTCCACATACTTTGCTAAACTTGTTTACCTCTGCCTTTTTGAGAATGATGGACGTGTTTTCCAAATACATTTATGCATGTGGAAATTTTGTTTCTTGTATCTTTTTATGAAACTTTTCATTGTATGTACATGTAATTGTTAATCAAAGGTAAAGTTGGGTTATTTTGTACACTTATCCCTTAAAAACTATTATCACTTTATTATGATGAAAACTATCTCGACACAAAGATATCTAAAGAGAGATTTACTCGTATCCTCTAAATCAGGCGAACACTCCTTAATGGTTAACAGTTTTATTGAATACAGCATACCGTATATTTGTTATGTGAGAATAATTCAATGAGCTTTTTGACCGAGTCTTGAAAAATCCAATTTTCTGCACATAAAAGTTTGATATGGTACAGTGTGTATATAGTTTTCAAAAATCATTCATTTGTAAGCACTTACTGGTCGGATTTATTTAAATATTAAGTGTTTGCAATTATACATTTTTTTTTCATTTTTTATCCCAAGAATGTTTCAAAAAGTTCCTTCGATACATGTAAGTGATATATATAAAATACTTTTCAAAAATTGATTGTATTTGTTAATAACGGTTCTTGAAGAATTTTTCACTCATTTCTTGCATTAATAATTCATGCCGGTGGCATAAGCCTGTTTTGAAAATAAGCCGGTCATGACAATTGTCTAAAGTTAACGTAAATCACAGTTTATAAAATGTTTATTATAAATATTCCATGACATGACATTAAATTATGATTCGATTCAAAATTCAAAATAAAATGTTTACAACTATAATAAAAGATATAAAAAATTTTCTCAAAATCAAATATTTTAAATTTACTTACATTTTTGTAACCCGATACTATGTGCACAATATTAAATGTTTGTTAACTATAAAATATTTCAATTTAATGAAAATTACATTTTTTATAGCTAGTGGAATGTCTTTTTTGAATCACTTTCACCGCTTTTGTTCAAAAAATCACAGCCAACTTCAGTGTCACCAAATGAGTAAAAAAATTCTCGAGAGGGAAGTTAAACAATATACAATCAATCAAAAAATTAACTTGCCGTGCTTAAAGATAACTGAAATCATGCACTGATCAAAATGTACATAATACACACACTGGATGATAGGGTTTTTTTCTATTACTCTTGAAAAGGGAACAATTGAAACCGAAATATAAGTATAGAAATACTGATCGATAAATCCCATAAATCAACCTCCAAATACAAATAATGTTCAAACTCTGAGCTGGGGTCAATATTCAACAGGGTCAATTTTTAACTTGTGGTCACCATGGATAAGAAAAAAATATCAAGCTGTTGAAAAATGAACCCGGGTATAAATTCAACGACTTTTGGTCTCAATTTTCAACGGAGAAAAAACTCCCCTGGTTCAATATTCAACGTGCACATGCTTGTCCGTTATTTTCAATCTTTTTCTTCAATATTCAACGTTACACCGGCTCGATGGGCGGAGTTACAGAAAAGTGTGGGTTATGTACAGAAAACCCACGCTTTTAACAAAAGAAATCGCACCTAACTATGGTACAATATTAAATACAGCATACCGTATATTTGTTATGTGAGAATGATTCTAACAGCTTTTTGACCGAGTCTTGAAAAATCCAATTTTCGATCAGAACAGTTTAGAAAGGTATATATACGTACCAAATACCAGTATTTTAGCACTTACTATTTATTCTCTTGTTTTGCAATTATTGATTTTTTTTTCATTTTTTATCCCAAGAATGTTTCAAAAAAAGTTCCTTCGAAACATGTACATGCATATATATACAGTATATAATTATGAAAGCAATTTTCGTCCCCAATACCATACATTTTTATTGATATCAGAATTATTTATTTCAGAATTATCTTACCATTTGGACAAGTATTAGGAGGTAAATTGCCTTTACAGACACTCAAAAACAGCATAAAAATCAGGACGATGGCCATCTGTGGGAAAGATTTTTTAAAAAATTAAAATATATATTGAAAAAGCCAAGTTGACACTCGTAGTAGTACTTTTAATAATCAAAATATTGATATATGCATATAACCGAGTATGATTTCACTGGGTCATTAATATCAGACATAGATAAATTGGGACCTGAAATAGCCTTGTATTTTGACTTTATTGTCTTTTATTTATTTAGGTTTTTACCATTGTGTTTTACCATTGTGTCTTTTGCATTCTGAAATAATCTAAGATACATATATTGTTCATTCACTTTTGTCATTAATGTCGTTCGAAAAAAAAAGGATTTTTAAAAAGTTTTTCATCCTTTAAAGAGAACTGTAATACTTCCTTGTGGATTATAGACTCAAGGATATTTCTAAACGAAGCCAAAATGGACTTGAAATTACCCCCCTATCTTGGATTCCTTAACTTCCTAAAAAACCTTACAAAGATTCATAACAGGTTCCGGTAAATGTTCTTCCAAATCTCTTCCTTTTCTCTTCATTAAAATTTTAACAGTAGTGAAACTGCCGGAGTACTGTACAACAATACATTCGAAAAATGTTATGAATCAAATGTGAATACTAAAAAAAACTCCATAGAAACTAGGAAACTTGAAATCAGAAAAGGTTATAACGTAACAGTAGTATTCAAATTACAATACGAACAGGGATTGAAAAGATTCTGAACAGGTTAACAAGTTAGCTATGATAATCAACATTTAGAATCAAATAGGAATTCCAAAAGATAGTGGAAGTCATGATAGCAAACAATACTTATACATTGCGGAGGAGGAACTCCATCATCGTTTTAATATTAACTTGAGAGTACTTTATATAAAGACTGAGGGCTAATATCAACAAATGAATAATTAGGTGACCATTGTATATTCAGCTGTTTATGAATCCAAAGGTTTAGAATGCATCTTTTTTTTAACTTATCTTCAAGAATGGTTGCATGACAAGTTTTGATGTACGTTACTAACTTTTGAAAAAAAAAATCATTTTTAAGTTTAAGTGAACCCCATTTAATAACAATAATAATAAGTTCGTAAAGATGTTGGCCACAGTTCCAAATAAATGCATGAAAATACAGAAATACACAATGATTAAGAATCACATTTACCTTTGTTATTAAAATTCTCGGAATTTTTTTTTTAATATGAATTGCTGTTATTTCATTGCAATTATTCAATTTCGAAATTCATTTCTATATGTTCCGTATTTACTGGACACCAAGAACAAACATAATCGTTAACTGTCTCCATTTCCTTTCTTAATAGTCACTCACTTCAGCCTCGAAGTATCAGGCGGACCAATGGGGGGTGGAACACTTCAATCTGAACACGTTTTTACTATATGAAATGTTCGTTGAAAAGAGATACTACCTTTTTTTGCACAGCACAGTCAAAATCAGGGTTATGTAGATATGTATCAGGAAAAATTTGGTAATGGAAAAAGTAAACAAGTGGTGGCATCTCAGTATGAGTGAAAATTGTCCAATGAACGTTAAAATTAACAAAGTGTTAACAGACATTTTGTACTCAATCTCTATAAATATTTAATTTCTGTAAATTTATGGAAAACAAGATCCACTTCTAGATAATGGAAATTTACTTGTTTTATTAAAATGTTACACTGTCAAGGGAATAGTTTGAAAAATACCTGTTCCAGAGCAGTCTCAAGTTCTTACGCCAGGTTGTTTGAAATTGTTTTATATTGACAAAAACTTTTCAATCAATAAACAAAATTATCCTGATGAGAGGAGAAAATCTTTCACAGATGTTCTGTATGTACACATGTATACAAGGAGATATTCAATCGATTTTAAACGATTTAACCAGTAAATTCTATGATTGTTGAAAAGTAACGGTTGTCATTAACAGCTTATAATTAATTCATGAGTTGAAATATCAACAAAATGAGTTTATAAACCATCTTAAATGAAAGAACGATTTGACATTCAGTTAGTTTGATGAATAAAATGTGATAATGACTCAATAAGTGATAGATTTTAAATTGGCGTTGATTCATACATTTAGTAACAATATTTCCAAACTTAACTATTTTTTCTGGAGTATTGACAAGACATACAATAAACACTTCTCATAGGAAATCATTGACGACTTTGAATTGCAGAAATTACATGTGTTATCAAACTTTTATGTTGTTTAACGTTCCTCTCGAGAATTTTTCACTCATATGAATATGCCACAATATTACAATTTACAAATTTTGTCTTATGCTCGGCACCCAGTAGCTGCAGAACTCTCTGCTTGAGAAAATTTGGACAGATAAAGCTTTATCTGTCCGAATTTTCTCAAGCAGAGAGCTACCGTTCTGCAGCTAGGCACTCAGGACTATTGAGCAGTGATAGATCTTTTTCGTGCCAGCACCTACTCCGACACAGGGCCTCGGTTTATATGGTCTCATCCGAAGGACCAGTCTCCACGTCCCACAGTGGGATTCGAAATTCGCAACTCTATTACAGACTCTTTAACCACTGCGCAACGCGGACGAATCAAGGAAAATCAAAGTATTACACTAGTTAGTATTTAAACAATAAAATGCTTTCTTTGTTTGTTGTTACTGGAATGAACGGAAGCAGCTGTTGCAGAAAAAATACATAACCCGCGTAAGCGGGTTATGTAAATTTTTTCTGCAATTGCTGCGACCGTTCATTCCAGTAACAACAAACAAAGAAAGACATTTTATTGTTTATATTTATATCTGTTTAAATTATCATTTTAAGTAGGATTAAAATATTAATTATTGTGTTAATGATGCGAACGTCTTTGTACGTTTCATTGATGGAACGGCCACTGATCAAGAAATCTGTACAGGTGATATGCCTAATGTAGTTTATGCAGGGATGAACGCAATTGGTTTTCTTAAGAAATAAAGAAGAAAATATTCAGTGGATGTAAATATAAAAAGTTAAACCATGCCCTGATTCGGTCATATGTTTCGTAAACCGAATGAATTTCGTCGAAAATGACATACGCATCATATTTTCTCCTCATTTATATCTGCACTTTGAAATAAAAAAAATTGTCCTTCTACTTTCGCTACCTTAAATTAATTGATAAGTGAATGCCCTACATATGACTGATTACTTCGGAATTGCTTTCGTGTGCATTTTTAAAAATTCATGCCTTTGGCCTATGTTGGATATTATACCGTTAAGTTTGAGGCTCTGTTGCCCCTGTTGCATTCTGTAATTGCTTTCTTTCTTTCGCAAAAAGCTCAAACAATTTAGCAACCATTGGCTTATGTCATATCTAAGATAACAACTTTCAAGGACTGTGTGGTTTGTTTGTTACTAATACTAAGCTTTGAAAATTAGCATTTTTTTTTTCCTTTATTTAATTTTATTTATTCGAGATATTTTTCTTATTTTCTACATTAGATTAATTACACGATGTAGAAATTGATGTTTAATTAATAAAACACAATAGATTTTTTTTTAATTTCTAGGATCTGTACTATCGTCATTTTAACTAAGACATGAAATTTAACGAAAAATAAGAAAATAAGTAGAATTAATCATTATAATGAGCGTACATAGTCTCTATCATATTAAACATATATTTATATAAGCAAATAGGCCTACTTACGATACCTTTATGCTGCCCTTGCGGAGCCAGGTGATAACTCGCTCTCTTTTTTTCTGTATGCTTGTTCACTTGACAAAACTTGTTTGGCTGAACATAGGATTCACTATTGATTGATCTTTACAGTTTATAAACATGACATGGTGCATTTGTGAATTATTAATTTAAAATGGAATTAAAATTTCTTCTTCATAAAGTCAGAAATAGTCGAAAAAAAAAATGCAACATATAGATTCATTAATATTTATCGATATAAAATGTTTCAGTAAATAAGTAGATTTGACGTACGTGCGTAAGATTGTACATTTAATGATGATTATCACAATAAATATATTTTAGTTCTACACCAATTTGCAAAATAGAAAAACAGAACTACCGCGGTAGTTTCTGTAGAAAAGCATTGTTGCAACCACTATTGAAATAACGACCACTATTGAAATAATTATATCAATAGTGGTTGAGAGTGCATTTCAATAGCAATCATAGTTAGTAACCACTATTGAAATACGACCACTATTGAAATAATTATATCAATAGTGGTTGAGAGTGCATTTCAATAACAAACATAGTAAGTAACCACTATTGAAATACGACCACTATTGAAATAATTATATCAATAGTGGTTGAGAGTGCATTTCAATAACAAACATAGTAAGTAACCACTATTGAAAAACGACCACTTTTGAAATAATTATATCAACAGTGGTTGAGAGTGCATTTCAATAACAAACATAGTAACCACTATTGAAATACGACCACTATTGAAATAATTATATCAATAGTGGTTAAGACAGCATTTAAATATAATAACCATAGGTTTCAACCACTATTGAAATACCAGCACTACTGAAATAATTATTCAGTAGTGGGTCAGAGTGCATTTCAATTTTGTTACCATAGCTTTCAACCACTACTAAAATACTATCAGTATTGAAAGAAAGTTTCACCGCGTCCGCAACTTTCGAAATAATTATTTTAATATATTGGATTTATTGTTCAATGTACTATTGGAATCAATAATTAAATCCATTTTAAAATCTTTATTTCAAAAGTGAACATTATTTCAATAGTGGTTGTTACCTATGTTTGTTATTGAAATGAATCTCACCCACTATTGAAATAATTATTTCAATAGTGGTCGTATTACAATAGTGGTTAATACCTATGTTTGTTATTGAAATGCACTCTCGACCACTATTGATATAATTATTTCAATAGTGGTCGTATTTCAATAGTGGTTATTACCTATGTTTGTTATTGAAATGCTCCCTCAACCACTATTGATATAATTATTTCAATAGTGGTTGTATTTCAATAGTGGTTGCAACAAAGCATCTTTAAAAGGTTAAAGTAGAACATTTTTATTTATGGGTAAGATATCTTAATGGGATGTTTTCCTAAGTCCTAGTCATAAGCGAAAATGGTATAGAACACGAGTAGGAATTTCATAAAATGTTCTATTTATATATCGTTTTCATATCCACAATTATGATGCCACTATGTTTTTGCTTCAGAAATGTGAAATTAAAAATGTGGATACATTTTCTTTAAAAACAGTGGAAATCATGAAATAGCTATATCACATCATTGGTTCTATTGTCGATACAAAATGTCAGAAAATGCAATTAATCATGAAGTGAAAGGCTGGCGACTAACGTTTTTCATTCTTATTGATAGGCCCTTATTTCCACTCTGAATGGACGGATTTTCCCATTATTTCCTGATCATGACAAGGAGCACACGGCCGGTGTGTGATCGCTCGACAAGGGATGCTAAATCCTCCATGGCACCTGATCGTACCTCTGATGTTTCAAGGGTCAGCGTTTGCTCTTCTCTTGATTTGTATTGTTTTGAAAGCACTTTTTAGCTTGAATATTTTTGTCATATCAATTAATTTCATGTCAAATAATATTTAATGCTAAACAAAATAAAAAAAAATCTACAGACTTAGGACTGAATATGACGTTCATCAATTAATTAATTGAAGTTCTTAACTTTTTTTTGAAAATTAATTAAGAATTGTTAGTTTTAGTTCACTTGGCACTTACAATAATAGTCCACTCTAAACATTCAATGGGTTAATGAAGGCATGGGTCATAAATACATGATTTACAACATTTTGGTTTCTTTCCTTATACATGTACATCTTGATAAGATAGATGAACTGTACAGTGATAGACAATAACAACTTTATAAGTAAAATGGATAAAAAAGATGATTGTGGATAAAAATCATGCAACTGCATAATTAAGAAAAGTTGACGAGGAAAAAGCTGCAGAAACCCTTCTGTCATGTAACTTATTAATTGTTTGTTGACCTGTACGAATAGGTGGTACATGTTTCTATTATTTGCGTTAACTCGGATATGTTGAGTAAAATTGATAAGAAGAATTTTTTCTATAAATAGTTTAAAATATTCTACTTCACAAGAATACAGAACAATACAAATATCTATGCAATCTTTGGATGTGAAGTGTGTTCAGACATGAGCATATGCATAATTCCTCATCACGAAATGAAACATTGCCATGTTTTAAAAATCAGTATAATTTAGTAAATTTAATCATATTTACCTCATACTTTATCCAGAGAAACAATCTCATTTTCATCTCGAAGATTAGAAGCTACTTTCAAAACCAATCCATTATTGATTTAATAGATATGTGTGACTTCAGAATATGTCAACAGAGAGTAACGTGTATATTTCTGCATCAATTATTCATTATTTTCAATTAAGGTATTTCTTTTTTCTTTTCGAAGAAATTGCTTATTCTGTTTATTCATGTAGTAGTTTATACTCAGTAAAATGACTGACAATGCGCCTCTCGAAAAATTCAACTTTTATCATTTCTTGTTTGTTGAATTTTGTTTATGAAAATCTACTTTCAAAGGAAATATCTCTTCAGGAAATATGTTTCCTTAAACCTTTCTTATCGTAATTTTATTATGATCTGTACCAAGAAATTAGACATCACGCGTAAGGTTGCTGATATTTAATGCCGGTTGTTTTTTATTGTAATTGTCAAAAAATGGAAACAATTACCAAAGAGAAATTGATTATAGTTATAAAAATTCTCTTTTTTATACATTCTATGATTTAAGTATCTCAGTTTTCAACTATGTAATTAGATTGATAAATGCAAAAATCGAAGAGGACTTGCTACAAACATATCATAATGTCACCTTAGTTCAGAAGTGTTAAAATTTCGTAAAAAGGGTAAGATTCCGAAAAAAATTTATACACCAAGATCGTTTCCTAGAAAGATAGATGGAAGAAAAATCTTAAAACAATATAAGTTGCCTTCTGAACAGCTTTATGAAAATACTTTATGGAATGAGAAACTGCAGGGGGAGCCAGTTTTTATTTTTATGTTGAATAGAGTTATCTTTCATAGACTTATAATAGCATCTATTAATTAAAGAATAGATGCCTTTAACTTTGTTGCTGCTATTTGAGTTGGGTTAGCTAAAATTAGATCGGGTTCGGGATATCTCAAATTCCCCCTCTTTGCCCTGGATCCTAAGAACAAAGGTATACGAATTTTGTAGCAGACAGAATTTCAAAAAATATGCTTTCAATCACAATTGCTTCTTAAATAATTTCATAAAATAGTATAGACAAATATCGGATTTGATGATTAGATGCATGGATGGATCATTCTTTTTTGAAAAAATGCGAGATTGGCTAGGATTGAAATTTTCTTTGTCAGCATACATGTGGCATAAGTTGTGTTAAAACTTGTTAACCCTTTAGTTTACGAGCAAAAAATATATCAGATTGAGGAATATTTTGTAATTATGCATTAAATATATTTATATATAAATCGGGCATTATCAATGAGAAATCGGGGGGGGGGGGGGGGGGGGGGGGGGTAATACAGTACTAATATGATCAAAACATTATAGTCAGGGTTTATCATTTTTCAAAGCATTTATTCAATTGAACATTCTCACATCTCAATTGATGCAATACGTAATATTGCGAATACCAATGGTGCTCTGACTTACTACCGCTCTTTTGTGGGGGAGTTCTAAATTTCTGGGGGCACATGTCATTGTTTATAGTAGTGTCAATCGAATGATTCTAACAATTTAATGAAGAAAGCACTATGTTTTGCCAGATATTGAACTCCAAATAGTAGATGGTCAAATAAGGAAAGTTTAGAATATTTTATCTGCTTTAAAATGTGACGATTTTCAATGAAAATT